CAATTAGAAGATCTAAACGTCTTCATCTGGTAAACACGAATCTCGAGAGCTAAAGAACTTCCAAAGCTAATTTTAGAATGTGTATTTAACCTCTCTTCAATAATCTTAAGAACAAAGTTTTTTTCAAAATACTCTGATAATGAGGCTCTTATTATAAAATCCCTACATAATTTCATCAAAATAATGATGTGCAAGGTGACAACAGCTTAAAAAAACTACATGATGGAGAATAAAACCCCTTATTTTGGAGTAATTGTGAGCAGGTAAAAAATTGCAATTATGAAAAAGAAGATAATTACTTTTCCTTGGTATCTGATCCCAACCCCCCCTTTAAAGTACATACTACTATCATACATAGCATGTTTTTTTTTTTTTCCAAGCGTATCGTCAATCCATAGAAGTTACGCAAAAAAACGTAATATCTTCTCTCACAAAATCACAATTTTCTCTTATCTTCTTCTTAATACTGTTCATGCAATGGAACGACAGCATGGCACCTGACAATTTGGGTTCCAAAGCAGCACTGTCACTTAATCTACACATGGATTAGAAAGAGCAAGAGAGAAAAAAAAAAAAAACTTGCCTTCAACACTAAAAAATTATGACATTCATCAAAAAATACAAAAAGATTGTGCCAGAAAAAATATACATTCTCAAGTCAAAGAGTCAAGTACCATTAAATGAACTACAGAAAATTTTGGCATAGTCACTTTTCAGGAAGACAATATATCATAGTCATATTGGTATCTATATATATACGTAATTAAGCCTCTAAAAGAGTTATCAAGGAACCTCACAGGCTGGAACCTACAAAGATCACTGAACATTTGCTTCTTTCCCCCAAGGGAGCATTACATCTAAGGACAGCCCAACTAAACAGGCCATTATAGAGATGTGGGAGTAAGAGAGTGATCCCAAAATTAATATAAAATGTTGATTTTTTTTTCTTCTTAAACCTCTAAACCATCTGCAAAGTAGCAATTATCTCTCTAAAAAAAAAAAAAGTAAAAAAGATGATTCACATGCCTGGTCACTAATAATGATAATAGAGAGAAAATGTATCCAAATGACCCATCTCATCTTAGCCATTCACATATGTATGCCAATGGGCATGCCCCCTATAGGAATGAGAAATGTACAATAGTAGCCTGCAAATCTGTTTACAAAAGAATATGAAAAAAAACATGCATCATAATACTGTTTTCTGACACTCCCTTTCCTGTGAACCCATCATGCAAGAGAAGAAATGAACTGCAATAACAAATTTGTGTTTGTGTAGATTAGTAAGATCTGTTGTAAATGTAAAACAATGAAATCAAAATCAAACTACAATTATATGATTTTGTACTAAAGTATCTGTATTTGTTTATATTTACATTTCCATCAATCAATATCAAAGATCCTGATAATTGCAAGTAGATAAAATGGGAATGGGATATTATCTTATACTTGGTTTTTAAATTGAAAGATATAACTATGAATGAAAGAGACTTCTGCTGTAGAAAATACCTCAAGGGGTAAACTAAATTAAATGATATCTTACTTGAGTCTTGAAAACTGTATATTTTTTAAGCCTTTTTATGTTCTCAAGGGACCAACTAAATGGGTATTAACCAATTCAATGAATAGGGGCCTAATTAAGTGGGTAATTATCAAAATAAAGTAACAAACAAAATTAATGGAATGTGTTTGTGTGTGTGTGTGATGTATATGTGAGTATATGAACACAAGTGAGATAGATAATGTCAACTACATAAATGAGAATGGATAAAAAAAAGTATATGTGTGAGCACTTTAAAATCTTTACAAAAATAATTGCAAGGAATAAATAAACCATTAAAATACAACAGTGTACACTTATCTGCCATCTGAAGACAGTGAGAAAAATGTATCAATAACAAAGAAATGATGCCTAAGTTATACATTCCTTTTAATATAACTAATCTTTAATCAACTCATTTGAGCCAAGCTAATTATGCTAAAAGCTTTTAAATATCCTTAAATCATAGGCAAGCTTGAAAACTCCTTGATATAGCAACATTATTGAAAACTTGCTTCAAAACGTAAACTAGCAAGTGAAAATATAATAATCAGAATTGTATTAGTCCTTCTCTACGAGGAATTCGCCACATGCCAACATGCCTCCATTATGGGACTACTGTTTTCTCAAGGTTAACTGATAATGCAAAATCGCCAACGGAAACAAAGTACGAGAACAATAAATTCAAACAAATAGTTCCCATAATAACATTCTTGACATCAGTTCATTCGCTCGCTATAAAATAAGCCAAAAAAATCCTATTGTGGCACTAATGAACTGCCTAGGAGGAGCTACCCTCTGACTGTATGAGCTTCACTAAATCTTTCATCATGTATAAATATATATATATAAAAGTAATAACAAACGTATATATAAATATGTATATAGAACTATTCCAAATCACCCCAAACTAACCGTGGCCATCACCCGACGATGAGGTCTGCACCCCCTTAGTGTAAGTCACCGTTTCGCGAGGAGGGATGTTGGTTGCCTGTACACTTACGACTGAGAGCTGTGGCGGCCTCTTGCTGCAGGGCGAGGGGGTAAGGGGAGAGAGAAGGAGGGGAAAAAAGAAAAAGAAAGAAAGAAGAGATTTGTGTGATTAGCAATAGGTTTTAAACTTTTTAAATTATCCTATTCTCAGATAATATGAATAAAATCTTACTTCTGAATTCCTATTTTTAACTGCAATTACATCTCTGTTCACTCTATTACTCATGACACACACATAATCATAAAAACTAATACATGTGACACACAAATGTAAAGTGTCTCTATTCTGCTATTATTCAATAAGATTACAGGAAGTTATGCTTAATGAAGTTTCTCAAATAAGGTCTTCCTTTTTGCCTGCCTTATATATATAATATAGCACACAAATAATCTAAATAATTCATCAAAGCAACTGTCAAATAAAGAAATAACAAACCTAATAATAACAGTAATAGTAGCAGTAACAACAGTAGTAGTATCCATAGTAATAGAAACAGTAACAGTAAGAATAATCAAATAGTAATCAAAATATACATTTCTAGAAATAACAAAAACTTACCTCGGTGTTCTCGGTGAAGCTGTCGCATTCCCTTCTAGACTCTTGTCTGGCGACCCCGTTAGGTCTTGCCCCGGCTCGGAGGACATGCTCGACATGCTCGACAGGACCTCTGTGGGGGGAAAAATTTGACAATGGGAAAAATAATAGAAGCTGACTATCTCCCCTTTCTGCTTGTCCTCCCTTCCTCTTAGTCGTCTTTTTTATGATGACAGATAGGTATTTGTTGGCTGAGCTAGAAAGACTATACGAAACAGTATGAAGAACAAAAGGAAAATTAACAAAAATCAAAGGCTTTGATCAAGAAAATGTAACAGAGATCACTAGCATTCAAAGAGATCTTTGATAATTTGAACAATAAAATAGAAAAAAAAAAAAAAAAAAAAAAAAAAAAAAACATCTACACAAAACTTTGCTAGGATCTCTGAAAACCAATAAACACATTTTCTCCTGTTAATTAGGGTAAAACCATCATAAAACACAAAAAAAAAAACAACCAAACCATAAGAAACATTTAAAATTCCCGGTAAAATAATCAGTCAGTATGCAAGGAAGATATTGGAGACAAGATTATTGATTAAAAATGCAAGACCACAAGGAATGGAACTGATCATTAAATAACAGGCAAAAGGATTAAGTTCTGTTGTTCTCTGTTATCGGTTAATAGCTTAAACACTGTGTTATATACATCAAGAAAGTTATATCTGCTTTGTATACATTAAACAGAAAAATAAATAAATAAATAAAATAAATGTATTTCACTTCAAAATATCTTTGAAAGGGAAACTAAAAAAAAATAATAATAATAATAAAAAATAAAATAAAATAAAATAAAATAAAATAAATCCATAAATAATAACAAACAAACAAAAAAAAGTGATCAACAATGGCATGAGCAAATAACATCCACTGAAACACCACATAGGGAACGAAGGATTTACGGCCACACTTGACCATTAAAGTAAAGACGAAAAAAATGGAAAGAAAGTCAACACCTACACCACCCACAAGTGTATCACCTGTCTGACCCGACTTGGTTGCAGATGGTTCTTCTACAGGCGGATTAGTGCTTCTAGTTTCCTCAATGGGACCACTGCTTTTATCTTTATCTTTATCTGCAGCAATACACTGAAGTGGTAATCAAAAGGAATCTACCTAAAGGAATCTATGCTATGTTCAATGTGAGGAAATGAACAAATAGTTATTGCTACATGAGAATGGAAAACAAAAACATTTTCCAAGCAATGCTTTGATTACTTATTAAACTGCATTGAAAGAGAAGGAAATTAAATGCAAGTAGAATATAAAACACAATCACATCACATAAAGGATTCTTTTTTTCTGTGAAAGTAAAACTCAGCAGATAAAAATGAAACTAATGTGCAACTTGAAAGATATAATAACTCTCAAGGTTGCTCCACAACCACAGGATTGCAGATCAGTGAAGAAACCATTACTATTCTTATTATTTCTCATCCATTCTCTCTCTCTTTTTTTATATTTAATGCTCTGTGAATATAGAAATCTCAAAAGAAATGTAGACTAAAATATTTATTTACATAAAATACCGAGCTAATAGACCGACAGCTAACAAATTCAAATACCTTTGAAATCGGAACTATAGTGTTACGAAGCTTACCCGAGACAGGTGCCACCCCCAGGGAGGAGAGCATCTTATCCAAATCCTGCTGGTCATCTCGCGGTGCATTGCTCGCACGTACAGCTGCTTCCTGAGCCTGTGAGAGAAAAATGCAAAGGATGAAAACTTAATCTTGCAGAGGCAAAAAAGGAAAGAGTGCAGAAAGAGAGACTTTCAAACCACACAGAACCATTACATTTACTTTTACATTTACTCCTAGTTGCTGCCAACTTCAATGAGTCACACTCAATTTCTCTACTTTTGTTATGCAT